GCCAGTGGAATGTTGGTCCACTCCTCTTCAATGGCTGTGTGAAGTTGCTGGATATTGGCAGGACCTGAAACATGCTGTCTTATACGCCGATCCAGAGCATCCCAAACATGCTCAATGGGTGACATGTCCAGTGAGTATGCTGGCCATGCAAGAACTGGGATGCTTTCAGATTCCAGGAATTGTGTACAGATCCTTGCAACATGGGGCCGTGCATTATCATGCTGCAACATGAGGTGATGGTCGTGGATGAATGGCACAACAATGGGCCTCAGGATCTCGTCACGGTATCTCTGTGCATTCAAAATGCCATCAATATAATGCACCTGTGTTCATTGTCCATAACATACGCCTTCCCATACCATAACCCCACCGCCACCATGGGCCACTCGATCCAAAACATTGACATCAGCAAATCGCTCACTCACACGACACCATACACGCTGTCTGCCATCTGCCCTGTACAGTGAAAACCGGGATTCATCCGTGAAGAGAACACCTCTCCAAACTGCCAGACGCCATCGAATGTGAGCATTTGCCCACTCAAGTTGGTTACGACGACGAACTGCAGTCAGGTCGAGACCCCGATGAGGACGACGAGCATGCAGATGAGCTTCCCTGAGACGGTTTCTGACAGTTTGTGCAGAAATTGTTTGGTTATGCAAACCGATTGTTTCAGCAACTGGTGGCTGGTCTCAGACGATCTTGGAGGTGAAGATGCTGGATGTGGAGGTCCTGGGCTGGTGTGGTTACACGGGGTCTGCAGTTGTGAGGTCGATTGTATGTACTGCCAAATTCTCTCAAACACCTTCCTGCAGTCAGCATGCCAATTGCACGCTCCCTCAAAACTTGCGACATCTGTGGCATTGTGCTGTGTGATAAAACTGCACATTTTAGAGTAGCCTTTCATTGTGGCCAGCCTAAGGCACACCTGTGCAATAATCATGCTGTCCAATCAGCATCTTGATATGGCACACCTGTGAGGTGGATGGATTATCTCGGCAAAGGAGAAGTGCTCACTAACACAGATTTAGACAGATTTGTGAACAATATATGAGAGTAATAGGCCTTTTGTGTACATAGAAGAAGTTTTAGATCTTTGAGTTCAGCTCATGAAAAATGGGGGCAAAAACAAAAGCGTTGCGTTTATAATTTTGTTCAGTGTATATATATATATATATATATATATATACACTCACCGGCCACTTTATTAGGTACACCTGTCCAACTGCTCGTTAACACTTAATTTCTAAGCAGCCAATCACATGGCGGCAACTCAGTGCATTTAGGCATGTAGACATGGTCAAGACAATCTCCTGCAGTTCAAACCGAGCATCAGTATGGGGAAGAAAGTTGATTTGAGTGACTTTGAACGTGGCATGATTGTTGGTGCCAGAAGGGCTGGTCTGAGTATTTCAGAAACTGCTAATCTACTGGGATTTTCACGCACAACCATCTCTAGGGTTTACAGAGAATGGTCCGAAAAAGAAAAAACATCCAGTGAGCGGCAGTTCTGTGGGCGGAAATGCCTTGTTGATGCCAGAGGTCAGAGGAGAATGGCCAGACTGGTTCGAGCTGATAGAAGGGCAACAGTGACTGAAATAACCACTCGTTACAACCGAGGTATGCAGCAAAGCATTTGTGAAGCCACAACACGCACAACCTTGAGGCGGATGGGCTACAACAGCAGAAGACTCCACCGGGTACCACTCATCTCCACTACAAATAGGAAAAAGAGGCTACAATTTGCAAGAGCTCACCAAAATTGAACAGTTGAAGACTGGAAAAATGTTGCCTGGTCTGATGAGTCTCGATTTCTGTTGAGACATTCAGATGTTAGAGTCAGAATTTGGCGTAAACAGAATGAGAACATGGAACCATCATGCCTTGTTACCACTGTGCAGGCTGGTGGTGGTGGTGTAATGGTGTGGGGGATGTTTTCTTGGCACACTTTAGGCCCCTTAGTGCCAATTGGGCATCTTTAAATGCCACGGCCTACCTGAGCATTGTTTCTGACCATGTCCATCCCTTTATGGCCACCATGTACCCATCCTCTGATGGCTACTTCCACCATGTCACAAAGCTCTAATCATTTCAAATTGGTTTCTTGAACATGACAATGAGTTCACTGTACTAAAATGGCCTCCACAGTCACCAGATCTCAACCCAATAGAGCATCTTTGGGATGTGGTGGAACGGGAGATTCGCATCATGGATGTGCAGCCGACAAATCTGCGGCAACTGTGTGATGCCATCATGTCAATATGGACCAAACTCCCTGAGGAATGCTTCCAGCACCTTGTTGAATCTATGCCACGAAGAATTGAGGCAGTTCTGAAGGCAAAAGGGGGTCCAACCCGTTACTAGCATGGGGTACCTAATAAAGTGGCCGGTGAGTGTATATATAAAATTTACTAAAAGCTTTTTTTTCTGATGTGGTGAAAATGGGCTTCCATAGGCACAGATGAAATGTAAGTGAATGTAAATAAATGTTTGTTGTGCAAAATGAACAACCGAAATTATTCAGGGTGAGCTGATTCTGATTAAACTAACTCAGACCCACCCAATACAGCCAATGCCCCCAGCATCCAATCTCACAGACATACTGGCTGAAATTTCTAGTTCAAACATCTAGACAGATTTTTCCGTTCCCCCTCATTATTTTCACAATTTTCTCCCTTAACTCCTCAACTGTCTCCCACAGTGCTCTTACCTTGCATTACACCCAATAAAAACCTGGTCACTGTCATGGTAACAAGAGGTCGGGGTCCAATGTTGGTCAGAAGGGGGGTGATAGCTGTCATAACGGCCCAGGAGGAGGTGGACAGCAGCAGTACTCTCTCTCCTCCTATCCTGTAAAAACAATGTTATTCATCATCATCATCTATCACTTGCTTGCCGTAACTGATCTATGAACTGTGGGCTACACAAAAGGCACTCACCTATCACTGACATGGCCACCAAGGACCTGAGTAAAACAGTAACCCCAGAAGAAAGCACCCAGGACCATGCCAGTCTCAGTCTTGCTCCATCCAAATTCTTTTGCCATGGTAACAGCACAGATTGGCATGGCCATCCGTGACCAGTAGAGAAAACATGTGACCAACAGCAGCATCAGGGTCCACGTCCGCGCCAGTGTCCTGCAGTGGGTGGGACGTTACAATTACAACAGTCTCAATCAGGTGTCTCACTCTGAAAACACGCAACTAATGTCAATTTAATTAGGTAGATATTCAATTAATACCATTGTTGTGTATTTATGTATTTATTATGTAGTTGTGTATTTATTTATGCAAAATCTTCAAAAAATTATTTTAAAATTAATTAAAATTAACATCCACCCTATCTGGTTACCGGAGCAGTATAGGATCCATTTTAAGATTCTACTAAGCTGTATTTGTTCATAAAATGTTAAATAGTGTAGCCCCATCATATCTGTCCGAACTTCTTAGCTACCAACAATCTTCACGGTCTCTCAATTCCTCTGACAGACTTTTCCTGCATATACCTCACTCTCGTTTGAAGTTTAAGGTGGATTGTGCTTTTTCTGTAGCTGGTCCTATCCTATATGGTAGCCTACAGCTTACCGCAGGACATTAGATCACGCACTTTTTTGCACTGGTTATTTGTTCATTTGTCTCTCTTTTTATTCTTTTACTCATCTACTTTATTTATAGGCCTAGGCGTAGGCTACAGCACTTTGGCATACACTAGGCTAACTGGTTTTAAATGTGTTTGACCTGCTTAATCTAATAAACAAAAACAAATGCTGATTCTTTTCATTCTAAATATCTTTTTTATTTTATACTTTAGGGAGTGGAAGATGGAATTGGATGGAATCCAGCTCATTCAGAACCTTGGTCACACCTGCTAATAACTGAGAGTGCGTTTGTTATTTTCTATCAACTCAGCAAAAACAACAACAAAGAAACCTCCTTTTCCTTTCAACTGCTTTTATTTACAGCACATTTCGTAATGTGGAAATATTTGTAGCATTAAAAGATTCAAAAACTGAGACATAAACTGATCAAATTTCAGACATTTTACGAACAGAAATGGAGTAATGAGCATGAACCACATTGTTTAAACCCTTTCCGATAAAGATATGCAAAGCTTATTTGGATTTTTTTTTTTTTATCTTTAAAATTTAGTAAAAAGGACAGGACTCAATTAGGAGACATCCACCAAAAACTTTATCAGGGGACCGCAGTGACAGTAGAACCTTTTCTATAATGCAACCGTTGCCAGGAAGCGAACTACCAGGAAGGAGGAGGAAAAAAGGCGATGTAAATGTTAGTGCCCAACTGCCTATTGACAACTAGCGCTCATCATACGACAATGCCGCTCTTGTGTTTTATTTACAGCAGAAAATGTTGCCGAGATACCATTAACGCACAAATACGAGTGTCGTTTAGAATTTTTTTTTTTTTAATCTCCGTTAATAAGCAAGTTTCATCATACCTTGGCCATACTGTCGTTGTTGTCTTGTCGTTAATTTGCATTATATTTAACCCGGGAGTGTAGCACACATTTCTGCAAGGTGTTTTCACAAAGTCCACAGGTGAGTTGAAATGGTCCGCTTCTTGCTCAGTAGCCATTCAGTCCAATTGAGTAAGAACCGGACACTGCGCACCGGTTCTTTACTGAACAGGAAAGTTTACAATTGCATATTCAGATGGGGCGCGTAAGAGGCGGAGACGATCGCGCCACACCTACATGTTTTAAAGAGAAACTGATCTTACGATGCATCATAAAGACTAGGAATGTGGTTATTCTTGTACAATTGATGACGCAAGACGACAATAAGAAGAAACCATCTAGTCAAGCATCATCATTCTGTACTAAAAAGATTGATGTGGAATCTGGAGGTTCGACCTTATAAATGTGAATAATAATGATAAAACCCAAGTAAACATATCTACTGTGAAATCAACTTTTTCCCAAACAAGCAGTACAAAATATGAACAAAAATTAGAGACAAAAAAATAACATAAGGCAAATGCTTTAGGTTAGTAATGACATCATTTGTTGTTTTGTAATTAAAGTAGCTTATATCATGGAAGTCTAAAACATTTACTTACTCATCTTTACAACCATCTGTAGCTCATAAATTAAATAATAAATGAAGTTATTGGATTCATGATAAAAGTAGTTAAATTACACCAGTTTCCAGTGCAATAAATCTGATGATGCTTTCTTTCCAACCAGGAGCTGATATTTTCCTCAAAAAACACAACCTAAAACCAGCCTGAGGACACAGTATTGTATGTGTAAGAGTGAAGAGCATGGGGGGAAAATAATAAAAGACACAAAACACAGATGACATGACAGACTGAAAATGCTGAAAAATAATACCAAACAACATTACCATAGGAATATTCCTGTTCTTCAGAAAATAGGCTACCAGTATAGTAAATGGTAGATTGAAATAACATCTAGTTTTACTGTTATTAATCAGTATAGTTTTGTTTGAAATAAAATCATATACTGTTGCTTAAATTACTTTTTTATAGAGGAATCAAGGAAAAAAGCATTATATATAGAGAGAGATTTATATTTGCCATCCAGTCACTGACCGTTCATAAATAGAACAAAAAAATGTCCATGTGAATTACAGTCTCTACTTAGGGTCCTCAATGGTTCCCTTGCTAAGGTCTGTCATTCTGGAGTATTTCACTTTTTTCTGGTCCAGTTCGTTTTGAGCCCACAGTAAAAGTTTCAGCAGCTTTGCTAATTTTGGAGTAGATTCCCTGTTCTCATAGTCTAGAACAGCCTGGTTTACCTCGCTCCACACCTATAGAGGGAGACAGAACCCAGCATTAAGGAAGGAGGTACAAGAGCAGAATTTACACTAGATATGCATAATGTACATAAAAAGGAGAATCGACTTTCATGGAAACAAGGAGCACTAACCCATTGTGATGGTATACAAATAAACACACATACCTTCTGCCTCTGCATCATGTTGAGCAGGTCTCCAAACGGCGATTCTTCAGGGTTGTCAAAGGCGAGCAGTGCCAGTGTCCGCTCCATCTCAGTAAGACATTCTCTGCTCTCCTCTCCCTGTTCGGCCAGCTGCGACTGCGCAAACTCCAGCGCTGCCTCAGTCTCCCGCAAACGGATGAGCTCAATCAGATGCTGCTGCTGCAAAAGTTTCAAATAAAAAAATAACAAGTTTTACAGTAAAGGTTGAGTTAGGATTTTTCTTTTCAGTACTTTTTTGTCTTCTTATTTGGAACAAGAGGCCTTCATGAATACATTTGCTTGTGCATTGTGAAAAAACGCAACGTCCATGGATTTTGCCATGGTTTGGATTGGCTCTGTTCCTCTACAACGCTCTGCTAGACATCTCCCTCCCTCCCATCATGTCCATATGATGTCAGATGTTTACCTGAAGGTGAAAGTAGAGGTATCGATTGGTGTCAAGCAGCTCGGGGTGGAGGCTGTTAATGAGAGCAATGGCTTCTTGGATCTGACCTTTCAGAACCATTTCCCTGATCTTTATTCTCTCATCAAGAGAGTCCAGATCCACGTTCGGTTCAATCCCGGATTCCATACGGAACTTCTCTGCAGCTTCTTTAAATCCCTCTGTGGAATAGAAACATGATCAGAGGGGCAGTTTATGCATTTTATTTGAAATACAAAAAATACAGTAAACAAAATCATAATGTAAAGTCATGTAATGTGAAAAAGCCACAGGTTAGCACAAATACATTTATTTTAATTTACACATATCTGTGTTTTTGACTTGAATCAAGTATTGTACTATACTATAAAATAATGCTGACATACCTGTTACTAGATAGTTCATGATAAGCCTGTTCATATCCGCCCTCTGAATGTGCACATTATTCAGTTTATCCAACCATTCCTCCTTTGTAATATCCTCAGGCTTTTCTGAATAACTCATCATGGATATGCTGAGGTAGACATGACATGCAAAAACAACAAACACCATTTTGCACACATCCAATATAAAAATGCACGTGTACTCACTTTTAAAATAATTGTCAGAGAAGAGGTTTGATTCATTTAGAGCACGCTGGGTCTGGCTGTCCATGTTATCAAAAAACAAAACAAAAAAAGAAACCTACTTTTACTTTTAATTAATCTAAGATTACAATGTTGGAGTTTGACGGTAAATGAATGAACTGCACTGTGCACGTTCATATTTTCGCGGTGCTTCTGCTCCTAGACAGCACAACAGAGAAGCCAGCGGCTCACTGGCCAGCAAAACCGCGTACGCGCCGTAAAAGAGATGTTGCAATGGTGACATTTATGCACCTGGCTGACAGGTTATATATATATATTTTTTTTTTTTTAAACTCGCCATTAAGGGATGAAATTCGCATAAAATATTTTTCGTTTTTATCTGGGTATTAGAATTAACAAGCCCCGAGAGCATGAAACACAACAGCGCGTGAGACTTGCAAACAGGGTTGTTCAGCCATTTTCTGACTATAACATCTGCCAGAGACCACACGTGAAAATAAAATAATACTAAATTGTAATCATTTTAACTGTTGTTCATTCGTGTTACTTGTTTTTCGCAAAATATGAAGAATGGTGATAAAATACTTACTGTTTACGATTATAAATAGCGGTGGGCCTCAGCGAAGATCACGCGATAACAGAGAAGAGCTCTTAACGAGACTTGAGGGGAGGTCAGTGATTGGTCAGAAAACTGACGTCACGGTTGCTGTGGCAAAGCTGGTAAGGTTGCCAGATCAGATTAAAAAAAAAAAAAAAAAGGTTGCCAGATCATGGCTATTTACGGAACATTAATGTCAGAAACAAGTATTTTTTAAAATTAATTTTAATTCGTTTGGAAACTAAGAAAAATGAATAAGAACTAGGCTATTTGAACTAGCCTATTTAATATACATTTTAGAGTGAGTTTAAAAGTTTAAAAATGTCTTTTGACTGACTAACTAAAATGCTTTTCTAAAATTCGGAATTAACTGAAAATTCACCTTATCTATTTTGAAATGCATGTTATAGATATTTTTGTGAATAATTCATCCGTGAATATGTTTTTTTTTTTTTATGTATTGATCTCTTCATGTTTAATCAAAATGTCATAACTGGACCTTAGCAAGAATGATTTAATATATTTGTATTGACTGTAACTTCTCCAGCAATTTTAGTGTTTTGTACATGAAGAGAAACAATGGCAACAACCTTTGATGGTTTCCTTTTCTTTAACCTTCCAAAAAACAAGCTTGAATTTTCCCAATCCTCTTAATACGTAGCCTATCTAACACAATTCTGTTATTGCAAAACAAAAATATAGGCCTATAGGCTACAGGGCCAGAAAGATAATCGATTATGTCTCAGAGATTAGATGGGACAATCACCTTTATTATTAGGTCCAGATAAATCCCCCTATGAAGGGGGAGAAAGAGGGGGGATTTTTGTTGTCTACAATAGCAATCTATTGTTTATTTCCCTCCTCATAACATTAAAATTACAACAGCTGGTATTAATTTCTGCCATATGATGACCAGACGGAATGAGCCAATGAAAATGTTTTTTTTTTTGTGCTTCCATATGTTATTTTTCAGACAAAACAGGTGATGCAATACAATTTTGTTTAATATTTTATGGTGAATGATTTTATCTATTTAGTTAATTAATCAAATCAAATATATTTAATTTGTTAATCAAAGACTGGCATTCTGTAAACATTAAAAGTGATTTGGAGGAATGGCAAGGAATGGCATTCATAAGTCTAACAGTTATGTCCTTTTAAATCCTGCATTTCATAAAAATATAAAGCTTTTCCAATGTTTCTGTGTGTCCCCTTAAAGGTCCAACAAAGAACTTATTTTCAAGAACCATTTTAGGGTTATTGAGATGGATATAATATAAACTTGATTCTATAGATTCTTCACAAATGTGTACTGCTTTCATTGGTTCTTTTTTATATGTGTTTTGGTTTTCTGGGGGTTTTAAAGCACCATTTTTTAAATAACTATATGTAAAATGTATTTTGTAGAACTTAAGATGTTTTGGTAGGCTATAAGGCTCTAAAACTATTTTTGGTTATTTGTAACCTTTATTTGTATGCTATCATTGCATATTATAATAAATAAAAAACATCCATGTCTTTAATATTGCATTATAGGCTAAATTACCAATTGCCTGTTCGTTATTTAATTTGCCCTGTTTCAAAATCAGTAAATAGGACTACTTTTAAAATATAAAACTCTTTTATTAGCCAGCATATTTTCAAAAATCATGACCAAAACGTCCGTATTTATTTTGAGGACTTACAAAAGCATAATTCCACAACAACTAGGCTACTTAAACACAGGTGACAGAAATTTTAACAACAACAACCAGTTTCAAATTCCGCATCCTATTGATGATAAAAAAAAGATTTATAAACCATTTATAAAGTCCATTTTTACATTTTATTGAGCCTAAAGTGTTCATGTTATTTACATAAGCAAGATGTGTGCAATGAAATAATTTAATTGATTATTGTATATCATAGGCTATTACTCATAATTGCATAAACCTAGTAAAAAAAAAATACAAAAAATAACACGCTAACATAAAGGCTTAATGCGACAGTAGGCCTGTATGTGGTGTCATCATTATATTCTGCGTCACGTTCAGCTGCTCAACTATCCTCCGCATCTCCTTCAAAGCTCGAGCTTGCATCAGGATGTGGTTCTTGGCCAGGAGAAGTGTCGCTATCTTGGATAGTTTTTTCACATTTTGATTCGGCGTGTATGGTATGACAGCTCGCAGGTCATCCAGCGCATCGTTGAGATCGTGCATGCGCTTCCGTTCACGAGTATTGACAAGTAGCCGCAGCGCTCTTTGCTTTTTGTTTGTCCCGCTGCTCGACTCCGAGTTTCCGCGAAACCCATTTTCCAGACACTGAAAACTTTTTCTTTCCGTCTCCGATGATGCTGTCTCTTCGATTACGCGATGGCCTGTGGTTAATTCCTCCTCGGAGGGATGCGTGGGAACTCCTTCACCGAGGCTCTGGCTGCAGGGCGTGCAGCTCATGGAAGAGTAGACACAGACAGACAGTTCACAGTCTTGTTCACCAACTGCCATTGGATACATTCTCCTGATGTTCATTCTGTTAGCAAATATGAATATTATTCGTCCACGTCCAACGGCCTTTGTCGTAGAGTTTGTCGCATTAGGCTAACGCCTATTTGACCTGTCGAAACTTTTGAAGGATTAACAGTCTGTCCAATCAAATCTGCGCGTCCCGCCACACAAACAAACAAACAGGTGCTGTTTTGATCAAATAGGGCGCTTATTGCTTCAAAACAGCCATGATAACAATCACAATATTACTTGATGTGGCATTTTGCTTTTATCCCAAAATTTACAGCTGAATTTAGGCTACAATCAGTGGCGGATTAAGACTCTTTGGACACCTACGCACGTGGTGCCCCTGCAGGCACTTGCCCAATTGCCCATATGGTTAATCCGCCTATGGCTACAATTGGAATATTTTGTGGGGAAATGGCAAATGCCAAGAAAAGAACTGTAGCCTACAGCAAAAAAAAAAAAAGAATAATAATTTAAAAGTAGCCTATGACGGCTATACTATTTTGCCCTGCATGGTGATGTTTTTCAGGCTATAATATGCGTATGCCATTTGTGAGAGATGGAAAAGACTTTGCTTTTGAAAATTGGGTCATCACGCCAAATTACTGGGTGTTAATGCATGCAAGAGAGTGCAGACATTTCCAAAAATTCTCCTTCTAAAAGTCAGAAGGAAACTGGGTCACACACAAACACTGTTTTTGATAATGACATTAAGGTAATACAAAAGAAATTAACATGATAGACTATTTTAGGAAAACTGTTTCCCCCCATAAACCGTTTTTATGACAGCAAATTGGCAATATTCTTCCTGCACCCGAGAAACATCCCAAACAAGTCTGATTAATTAGTCATCATTTACTGCGAATGAGCATGATTAGAAATTAAACCTACAGTACTGAAGGAATCATGTGTATGTGAATGGGGTTGATGAAAGGCAATCAAGTGTTTTGTGATAAGGGGAAACACATCTGTTTAATAAGTGAGAGTTGATGGCCTTATTTTGTTTATTCTAATCATTTAAATGCAAACATGATTCCATTAACCATAAACATGTAAAATGAACTGAACTGAATGGAATTATATTAGTTTTTCTGAATTGCTAAAACACATTTCTCAAAACCATCACCCACTTTCTCAAAACCTTAAATACAAAATTATAAACACAGTTAATAAATAAGGTATTAAAAACTCTAAATGAAAAGCATGTTACGGTACACTCAAAGAGTTGTGCAACTGCAAAATCAAAGTCAGTGAGAGATTAATTCTGCCTCAGCGTCATGTCTTTGTGGTCATTGACAGACAATGACTCTTGTCAGGTCAAGAGACAAACCTTCTGGTGTGCCGGATCCATAACACTGTCCACACCTTGCTCGTCCTCATTCTCTTCCTCCTCGTCCATAACCTCTTACACATACTCTTCCTCTTCTCCCTCCCAGTCCCAGATTGTTATATCAACATTCAGTGCAGCCACCTATACTGGCTTGTTTTGTGTAGTTGGTTTGATCATTAGAAATAAGTGTGAACAATTTTGAGTTGTGTGTAAACGATGACATCTGTGTTTTAGTTGTGTTTAGCTTTTACCTGCCTGTGTGTTTAGCATTTTGCGACACGGGTGCATTACAGTGATGTGTTTTAGTGAGTGAGAATGTTTAAAGTTTTGCAAAGAGTACATTTTTGCAAAGTGTCTATACCTGAACTTGTTTAATGTTTTACAGAAATATTTATTCAACAATTTGGTTCAGAGAATGGGGTTTAGTGTTTTAGCAATTCAGAAAAACTGTAATGGGATATTGGCCATGCTGGATAAGCAAACTAGATTCTTTAGATTCATTCTAAAAACATTTTTTAGAATATGTTTTCTGGGTGAACTTATCAAATAAAGTTGAACTACAAAAAATTGATCAGCACTTAATTATCTTCAGCCATAACATTAATGTGGACTGCACTTCAGTAAATGACATATGACCAGAAATATAGGCCTATCACATGACCTCATATAGAAAAACTCTGAATCCTGTCAAACAAAACATTCAATATAGGCATGGAGGGATTGAGAACACAAAAAAGGAGATGCACCAATGAAATCACATGCATTTCATATTGATGATGACCTTTTACCTGAAAGTGCTTATATTTTGCCTTATTCAAATTCATCCCTTTAGGTTGAATTAAAGAATCTTAATGAAATAACAGTGGATAATAATTTAAAACAAGAGCCAAAAAATGGGGCCAATATGTTTACTTTAAGATTAGCCTTTATAATGCATGTCACGAAATGTAAAATGCTAAAATGTAACCATGTCAAAATCACATATAAATCATAAAACCCATACATAATTTTAGTTTCTTATCTGGAACACATCTTTCCTCACATGGATCCTTCCCACTGCTGTGATCCACCCTGTGAAACCACAGATGCCGTAAGAGAGTCACACTTTCTCACTCATCCGCATTCACACACACTGGACGGTTGGCTGTGGGGAGACGGGGGTCCCTGAGTAGGAAGTGGGGTGAAAGTAAAACCCGTTGCTGGGCGACTGAATCATAGTTGCTATGGTGAACTTGAGTTGAGCAGCTGGTCCAATCAGCTGAGACATGTAGGGCAGAGTGGATCTCATACTGAAGAGAGTGATGTAGAAACACGTGGGAGGAAGAAAGGAAGAGAGAAGGAGAGTTGAAGTTAAAGAGGGTGCAGAAAAGGAAGATTGACAGTGAGAAAGGAATAGAGGGAAGTTGCAAAAAATGATCGAACAGGATGAAAATAAGACAGAAAAGAAGGAAGAGCATGGGTGAGGGAGAAAAAAAGAAAGAAAAAAAAAGAAAAGTGGAACTGCTTTTTTTCCTCCAGTCGATCCTTTTATATTCATGTCTATACACTACATTTAACATCCAATTAAATACATTCTCTGTACAATTAAAAACATTCTGTGTTCTAAGGACAAATCTCTGATTATTTTTCATAATGTTATTTATTTATGGCCTATAATTTATGATGTGGACAAAACAATATTTGATAGTATTTTTGTATGTTGCCTTTTACATTTTTGCTGTTTTGTGAATTGTTTGTTTCGTGATTTTTTACAACTTTTTTCTTATGTCAAATCAACTTAGACAATTAATGTGGTTCAGATTACACAATATTTCGAGTTTCTGTTGATTATCTCCTTCATTGTATAACCTCACATTTTTAATGTCAATGAACTCCAAATTGTAAGGCCACCAGGTAACTTACTTTTTTAAGATAAACCAACAATAGGCCTATATATGTTTTACAGTCTGCCTATAATTGTTTGTAGGCCTAAATTTCCTGTTAAGTCAATTATAATAGTATGTTTTTGTCGCCAAAATCGACTAATTTAATTAAGCAGCCATAGTATATAATCGTTTTCTCGAGCAGGAATAAACGTCTTTTAATAATCCCTTAAAGAATATGGGGCGTCTTTGACCTCGACAGCAAGGTTAGATAGCCTATACATGACAGTAGAAGCAGGTGCAGGCATACTTAAACTCAATGGGCTTTCTCAGCTCTTATTCATCTACTACATTATCTTGACTCCTCGTCAATGACAAAGCCGCTAAATCGCGGCCCTGCCTCCCTTCTGCACTGACTTGCATGTGTTGTGATGTCTTATGATCGAGAGGCCCGGTCGCGGCGTGGGGTGGACAGGCCGTTGAAGAGCAGGGGCGCACGGGATGAATGGTCCGGTCCTTATTGTAATGCAAAGACAAAACTCCTCCCTTGCTCAATGGAGAAGGAAGTAGGCCAAAAATATCGCTCCAGGGGAAGAATAAAACCGTTTTCCCGGTTGAACATCTATTCTTGGATTTTACACATTTTCAGTCGAACTGAGGGGGATTGGAAATGAGGTGAATTTAAGATGGTGGATTATAGCCTACTGCAGCAAACGGTCAGGTCCGTGAAATTGCACGTGGGTTATGGGCTCCCCTGCTTACGAAATATTCAAATCCTTTTACTTCCCTTCCTCACACTTGCTCTCATTTGGAGAAATTGGATGGGTCTATTTGTTTACGATTCTCAATTAGTTAGCCTATCATTTATGGAAATTTGCGCTACAAAATAATCATATTTAGTGCTATAATTAAAGTGCACATGTAGGCTATTTGGACTGCAACCAGGGTATATGGTTGCTTGGGATTTGATCTCCTAAGACTTGAGTCTTCTAATGAACGTCGACAAAAAGCGGTCTATTTTTTTACTTGTCACTTTATTATAGATTTACTAATGTTTAATATAGTTGGCGGTTAGGTGCGCCACAAAACTGTTGCGCGAGAGATGCCACTTCTTTGACTGTAACCTAATTTAATTGAAATCATTGAATAATTCGCACACATAGGCCTATCTCATTACAAATGTTTCATATTTCTTTAGGAATTATTAGGGCCCAAGCCCAAAGGGCGAAGGCCCTATTGTTTTCCTTAGGATTATTTATTATTATTATTATTATTATTCTTATTATTTTTCTGCTACCTTTTGGACACTTTTGGAGGCCTTAACATGCTCAAAAACTCCTGAAACTTTGCACACATGTCAGAACCCGCGGCCATCAGGGCCGGGCTGAAGATGGTACCCGGGCGTGGCAGGGGGGCTCGACAGCGCCCCCTGGAACGGGGTCCGAAAACATGGTCCATAAATCAAACACGCTTGCATGTAATAATATGAAACTCGGTACACATGTAGATCTCCTCGTTTCATATATACTTCACACTCTTACTTTTTACCCCAGCCCAACAGGAAGTCGGCTATTTAGGGTTGTTGGTAAAACACACGCAATGGAATGTGAAATACTCCTCCTAGAGAATTCAAACAAACGGCACGAAACTCGGTCAGCATGAAGTCAAGACATTGAGGATGAAAGTTTGCGAGGGGATTTTTGATATCTCGAACGGTTTGGCCGTGGCGAGGAAACAAAATTATGGCGAGAAACGTGAAACAGGAAGTGTGTCATAACTACTGCATACATTAACTGATCTTGATGAAACTTCAACAGTGTGTTCGTTGTAAGAGCCCGATCACATGGATGTGACTATTGTGAGTCAAAGTTATAGCGCCACCAACTGGCAGCAGGAAGTGTGTCACTTCCTAAATGCTTTGAAATCACCCTCTTATTTTTACCCGATTTGCTTCAAACTTTATGTGTATAATGTAAACACACGGCAGATGTAGACCTGTGAAAGGATTATTGATATCTTAGATACTGTTGCCGTGGCAACACATCAAACTTTAATATTCTTGTTTGATGCTTTTGA